TGGACAATTTCCTACAACCCAGAAACCTGACAGATGCTGTCTTTGGGATACAATTTCAGTAATGGGTGCTATCAAATAGAAAGGCACATTTATCAACAGAGTGTCGGAGTACAGTCACCAAGAGGTGTAAAGAAAGCAAAGACGCACCTTAAACAAAGTTAGAGAAGCAAGCATAAACCTTTTAAAGACAGCTTTGTGTGTGTGTGCACGTGCGCGTGAGTGTGTGTGTGTGTGTGTGTGTGTGTATGTGCATGCAAAAGTGTGTGGGTGCGTGTGTCAGTGTGCACATCAAGCTATGTGTTTGGAGGTCAAGGATAGCCTTGGGTGTCAGACCTCACTCACTTCTACTTTGAGGCAGCAGCCTCGCCTGCACACTTTTGCAGACCCTAGGCTAGCTAGCCCAGACATAGCCTGTCTTGCTCCCCTCCTCCAGATAGGGATGCTCTGCTATTCACAGATATCTGTGCTACTGTGTCAGTTCTTTAGGTGTCTTCGAGAAATCGGAACTTAAGTTATCATATTTGAGCAACCATTTCTTCGCCCTGGGCTGTCTTCCCAGCTTTTGAAGATAATTTTTTAAGTGTTTACTGGCTGTTCGTCAGCAAACTAAATGATGTGAATACTTTAGTACAAATTGCTCGGACAAGGTCAAATAGGCCACACCCCTGACTCTGCTAGATCAACATCCTGTGAAAACTAGTATTAAGGAATTAACTGAGCTCATTCATCTGGAAAGTTAATCGTCAGGTGTTTATTGTTTTTTGAGTATTTTCTTCTTTTAGATTAGATCAAACAAGTTATAAGAAATAGTTCACTTAACTACTATTAGCCAGTAACTTTCCTCTAGTGTCTGTTGAATAGAATAACATCATGAAAAAGTTGTAGGTGACTGTTTTTTAACTGTGAGAAGAAAATCCTGAAAACCCTTAACTGTGAAACTTTCTGTCTTCCTTTTGTTCAGTGAAATAAAACTCCTCGTGGGAAGTGTTCTCTTGAGTTTTGTGAACTTAAGTGGTTGATACCAAACACAGCAAAGGATGCTAAGCAGTGAGTGAAATGTCATCAACGGCTGCATTTTCAAAGTCTGAGTTCATTTTTTTACACAGGACTCCAACACAAGTATGTAGTCCACACAAATATCGAATGGATTAATACCGGCTTATTAATGGCCAATTATTTTATTGCACAGCTGCAAGGGAAAATGTCAGGGTTGGGAGTAATTAAATCAGAAGGGAACCAATTGTCAGAAAACAAAGGCAACACACACACACACACACACACACACACACACACAGTCTTTACAGCACACTGAAGCAAAACAGATGATTGGATTTGAAGCTTACCAACCTAGAACTTTATCCTACCCCCCATTTCATTTTCCACCAATTCATTTTCCTACACTAAGAAATACGTATTTCACCATTCTAGCTCTGATTCCCTCACATCAAAAAGACTCCTAGCTATTGGTAACATTACAGGGTAAGATATGGGCAGTACAGTGAATCTTAGCATGTTATGCCCATAGAATGTTATATTTGCAGCATGTCTTGCTGAGAGCTATATTCCTTCATTCTTTTTCCCCCCTTCATTATTATAAGAGGTCAAAGGAGATTATGCTAAATTAAGGAAGATTTGTAATTATGTCTGAAGAATGAATAGCGTGTGTTTAGCGGATTTTACATAGCAGTGGTTTGTTTTTCTTTTGTAAAAAATTGTTTTTAATAAGCAAACAAGTATTAGCATGGCAAGAATGAGGTTTTAAAAGTTTGACAGTTCACTGTGCCAAAGCCAAGGCTGGCAGTCTGCACCTTATCAGAGAGTAAAGAACAACACATTTGTCTGCAATTTAGGGGGAATATTTGTCCCATGATTAAGAATAGGAAATCATCCTGACAGCAAACAGGATCTAGTCAAACATAATGTTAATCTGGGCTTTGAGGTATTATAAGTCTCTGGAGGAGGCCAGAGTCGTTCCGCCTGGTGATTCGTCTCAGTCTCTGTCACAAGTATTTCCTCTGTGACTTTCTTCACAGGCCTACTGTAGAAGCCTGTCTTTGAGAAGGTTGTTAAGAGCACACATGAAAAGCTTATGCAAAAATAAATGATAGCACCTCAGGCTTCTTAATTTTATACTATAATACATCGGACCTTTCTACCTTTACACATTCAGAGTGGATTCTTTGATGAAAGGAGAGAGAAATGAATTGCATACCCTATGAAGGGAACCTTTATTACCATTTTAATAGTTCACAGACACATAAAAGGAGGACACATTCACTCTTGGAAGGACCCAATACTAAAGAGATCCACTGGCTAAGTAATAAGAAAAGTAGTATGATCAAGGAAAATAGTTTTTGAAGCGTCGTGAATATGCAAACTTTTCACAAAAGCTTCCAGAAGACTTACCAAAGGGAAACAAAACAAAATCATTGTGCGAAAGTCTAAAGAGATAAGTTTGTCTTTTCTATAACCGTTTTTTTGGGCTCAGGGAAAATACTCAATACAGCTGTAGACTGTAGGAGATCATGGGAACGAAATTCCAGACATCAGAAATCAACTCTCAGAACTGCTCAATGAGAAGCTATGGTGGAAAGCTCATACTCTGAGGAACCATTGTATAAACTGAACCCTGGCACAGTGTGTAGTGACCACTGTTGCTTTGGGTTGGGACAGAGATAGGACGGCCATTCGGGACATTGCTTCGCTATGGAGAGCATTTGTTTTTAGTTGTACTGGGCTTTATTTTGTTTTAGCTGGGCTTCATGCTCCATGTCTTGAATGTGGTAGAGGCTTTTAGGTTTTGTAGCAGAGAAATAGTACTTGGGATTACCCTCGATGGCTCCCCATTATGTATTCATTATTTCTAGGTTTGTTTTTTTTCTGCTTGAGCAATGCTCTCACCAGAGCTCTGGTCCTTCCCAGACATCATTTCATTGAGATATGCAAAAAAGAAAATTAAAATACAAGGGTTTTATTGTTATTATTATTTTAACGACTCGGGGCCTGCTTGATGTTTGCATTTAAATTAGACAGACTAATTCAGATGGGGCTTCTAATTTCAGGAGGTTAATCACCCTAACAAAGGTCAGTCAAACTTGAATCTTCAGTAAAATTGCTACGGGCCCAATCACCTGCAGGACATTCATTATGTTCCTATTCCCATTTGAAAGAATACGTTTTATTCATCAGATGTTACTAATCTTCTTTTTGCCACATTTGACTGAAAATATTAAATTCTTTTGGAACTCTGACAAAAGTCCCCTTCTATATATCTTAAGAGATAACTTATTTTTTTTAAACAACAAGAAAAACCAGGCCTTCAGCTGCAAATGACTTTTCCAGCACTTTCTAATCCTTAGATACCTTTGATACTCACCAGAGTTCTTATACTACCAAATCTCGAGTACACAAAATAATCAGGTTTTACTTACAACAGCATCATGTGGTTATAGGGACTTAATTTTCCACATTGTCTTGGATTATGATGATCATCTACTTGGTTCTATTGATGAAGCTTACTGAAAACCAAAACTATTGATTTGGAGGAAGTACACGTTAATCATATTTGCAGAGCAGCAGACTACTTCAATTCACTAACTCAGTCTGTGACAGTGTATTGAGATGTATAGTGAGTATCTGTTATGGGGAAGGTACAGGTGAAGGGGACTCTAAGTTAAGAAAAAAAGGTCTCTATTATGATATGTATACTATGAAAATGATCCTCAGAATATAATAAAACTATTAAAAATCTTCACTTTCAGCTTTTCTGAGCGGATTCATTAAACTTTAGTGAAGGCTTGAGAATACTTAAGTCAAATTATACCACAATTTTGATAAACAGTGCTTAAAATCATTCGCATATTTAAATACTTCAAAACTCGTAATTCCACAAGGTGACTCATTTCTTATTTTGATAATGTGAAATTTGATTGTCAAATTTTCAAATCAATATACTTGAGAACATAATGCTTTCGACGATTAGGAGTCAAATCATGAAAAAGTTGAAACGGGGCCTGTTGAAAAGACATACACCACACATTCCTTTTTTAAAGTGTTGAAAGATTTAAAAACTGCTCCGAACACAAAAGACAACAGTGAGAGGCAAAAGTCAAATCCCTGGCTTTTGTCATGACAAAATGGCCTGGGTTAAGGGCAAGTCATGTATGTCCCCAATTCTACTGCACACCAGTTACCAGGGTGTTATAGCGGTGGTGTGACACAGCATAAGTAACCCAAACCTGCCTGCTGCACAGTCTTGAGACCCTTCCTCCCTCCTTTGGACTCAAGCACACAGGCATGTGCACAAAGGTGCACGGCTCTCCTCATCAATATTCACACTCATTAATTAACAATATGGGAAGGCTATAATTCGAGAAACACCCCAGAGCTCGAATATTCAATCAAGCCAAGCAAATCACAGCGTAAAGAAAATACAGGTGAGGCAATCAGGGGCTCGGCTGGCAACGGAGAGGAGAACAACATTTCAGGAAATATGCTGGGAGTAGGAGAGGGCCCTTGCTTGGTGCGGACAAAGCCCACCCCTCTCCGATTTGGACCCTTCTTCAAACTAAGATTGAGTCTACACTTTCTATAACTGCGCTTGCCCTTTCCTCCCTCTTCTGAGCTGACAGATAAAAAGAGGAAACAACGGCTTTTATATGGTCAAGCAAACACCTACGATGTTCCACAATATAAATATTCAACTGATATTTGTTACCAAATAGTTATTCTGAAAATGAGAAAGGCCAGCTAGATGGCAACGGCAAAATATTGTTCTATAATCTATCGTCAGTATCAGGAGCTATTTGATTACTGTTTTGAATTTTGAGATTTCTGAGAAATAAAATCTTAAAGCTTTCAGAGACTGTGATACAAACGATCAAAAAATATGGATCTTTTAATAAAGCATTTCAGTCATGAAACAGGAAGGAACCCACCAAACTACCACAAAAAAATCTTAACAAGAGAACCCTGGATGTAGAATTATAAAGGAAACATACCTTTGGCTGAACAAGTTCACAATTTTTCATCTCAGCTACACAGCCTTGCCGTTCCACCCGGAGCAGAAGTCGGCTCCGAGTCCCTTGTGATCTTGGTGACAATGCCATCATACCACTGGTAAATTTTCCGATTAAACTTTGCAGATGTGGTAGCAACTTTGTTAATTATGATATTAGCCAGCTGGCAGGGACAGTCAGTCACCCACTGTAAGGAAGCCAGACAAAGAGACATCTAATCATCGCAACCAGGGCAGATAGATTTTGTCCCCTCCCCGCACGTGTCACACATCCTCTCCCTGCTGACCCTCTCCTCAGCCGTCGACTGTCAAATTTAGATTCCGCCAGCTCCCAGGCTTCCCTTTATCCCTGCCTCCGATCTGAGACTCCTGGTTATCAGGAAGACACACGTCACTAGCTGTCTCCGCGCAGGAAAGCAATCAGGTGAATACGACTTATTATCTTGCACTGCTTTCCGAGGACTGACAAGATTGATTTGAGACCAAGAACACACTGAGATCTGAGACACGTCGTTCCGAGGGTTTTGAGTTCAGACAACAGGCTCGCTGCAAAGTTACAAGAGAGGAACTGACCTGAAGTCCAGTGCTAAGGACGATGCACATTCATTTGTAGATTAAAAAGCGACTGTCAGAGTTTCCTTTCTCAGCTGCCCTTCTGTTTTCCTTTCCCACCCTATTCTGCCCTAAGAACATGTCTAAGAGCACTGTCCCCTGGAGACTACCGCTTCACAGCTGGGTAGTCTTAGATCAACCCTAGGGAAGCTATGTTCTGACATGACGTCATCTGTGCCCACTCTCTTTGCGTGTGGGGACGTCACTACAAGAGGGCTCCAAGTCTCCACACTGGGCTGACTTAGCCTAAAAACCAAAGAAAATAAACATGTAGATTTTAATAACTTAAAGCTATGTAATGGAAATAAGGGGATATATTCATTAGGGGTTCTCTCTCTCTCTCTCTCTCTCTCTCTCTCTCTCTCTCTCTCTGTGTGTGTGTGTGTGTGTGTGTGTGGATGGGGCTCCAAAATCTCATCAGAATTAGATAGGAAGGTCTCAGAAATTTCAAAAATCTATTTATATATTCATGCCTCTGTTGATCTAGGTTTCTTCTTGCGAGCAATAGAACCTTTAACCTTGATCTCTCAAGGCTGGCATTAAAAAAAATGAATCATAAAAAGCAAAAGAACAAAGACGCTGGAAACGTCAGAGGATGGAAGTTTGTCTGTCTGGCTCAGCTTCAAGGAGAGAAGCTTTGATGATCACTTTCAACATGCTTTGCTTGGAAGTGAGGACTTCCTACCGTGTCCACTATGACAACTTTGGCAGCTACCTGAGGTCTGAGTGCATAGTAGTAACCCAAGTAACGTACGCTGATGAAAAGTGGCTGCCTGTTCTATGCATATCATCTTGATAATGCATATATTCACTCTTTAGGCCCTGTATTGATAAACATACATCAATTATCCATACACTTATTCTTAAACATATTTTTAAATTAATAAAAAAAAACTTGATTCCAAATGGAGTTAAAATACTCATTTTTAAAAGAATGCCAAGTGTATCTATAATTCTCCCATGAAATGATTCTGATTCAGGACGTTACAATTTGTCTAAAATATCTTGACTCAGACTGAAAAACAGATTTTCCTCTTAGAAAATTCAAAGAAAATAATATACTACACACAAAGTTTTTCATTGCTGTAGACCCTATAAGAGAAATAGAATGAAATGTATGCCTCTAAAGAAAAATTAATAAATAAATTTTGCCATTTGCTCATAGGTAGTCATGACGTGATTAGAAGGAAGACTGAGAAAACTGCCTTTTTAAGAAGAAGACTAACTTATGATGAAAAGTCTAGAAGGAGCAACGCTTAATAGAAACCATAGCCATCCCCATCATTCATGGTGGGGAGGTAGGGGGGTCCCCAAGATCTGCACTGGCCAAGTCAGTGTTTACATTTACGTATATCCCATGCAACTCTCCTCTATATTCTGAATTATATTTAAGATAGTTAACATAATGTAGATGCCATATAAAAATATCTGCATGTTTCTAATTCAGATGTCATGTTTTTTTTTTTTCTCTGAATATTTCAACCTGTGGGTAGTTGAAGTCACAGACACAGAACTAGTAGATGTGGAGCATCAAGTATGGTATAGAGAGTTAGAAAGCGTTGCCTTTTACTGCTGTGACTCAACAGCAGAACAAAAGACCTCAACTACCAAACAGGCACAGTAATCATGACTGCATGGCAGGACTTCGATGTTAAAGCAGACAACGCATGTAAAATCCCTTGCACATATCCTTCGTTATGTAGCTTAATTATTTCTCTTATTATAACTACCATATAAATAATTATTACATGTTTTCTATCAGTCATTATCCAGTACCCATGAAGTTAAATGAAACATTTTGAAACAAGGAAAATGTGGTATCTTCAGCTCAAAATGCCACACATAGATATGACCAAGATTGCAAAACATAAAAAAAAAACACTAAAAATACTAGTAATAGCCCCCAAATACACAAAATGTCAGTCACAAAGTTATAACTGGACCAAGAAAATATGTTATCAAATACACAGTTTCCATTAAAAGGACTACACAGGTTTGAATTCACCATGACCGTCTTTCTCCATGAAGATGAGCATTTCCAGAAACATGGCAGTTACACCATGTATGTACAGAGAACGGACAGCACCCAGAGAAGCCCCATGCTCCTGCTTTGTTTGGAATACACATTACCTAGTTTGATACTTGCTGATTTCTGCTGCCCGTAGCCACAAAGCCTGACTAGGAGCAGAGCCGGCTAGTGCCTCTTGTCATTGATAGGCTATTGTTATATAAACATGACACATGGGTGTGGGATATTTTAAAGGTTGAAGCAATCAATGAGGATGAATCACTCCTCATTTGAAAATACTTCCCTTGGATGAGGATTCCCTTGGGGTCCACACAGGACACTAAACTTGACTCTGCTGTGGATGCTCTTGCTAGTGTGCCCTGAATCTTCTCCCATTGGCTCATGGGACAACACTTCCTACCTAGCCTCTGATGGCTTGAATATGTTTAATTACATCTCACATGTACATACATTTCATTTCTGTCTTCCAGAACATTAAGCATGTAAGTGAATGCCTGGAATTTCATCCTCTGCTTGTCTTAGTCTCAAGAGTCTGATGTCCTGTCTCCTTTCCATTCTTAGATCTTAACTTATTATCTCTGAGACTTTGGGGAAATTGTTAAACTTCATTAGGACTGTTAGACAATAATAACATATTGTGATACCATGACAAAGGTTGCACGTAATACAGGCCAGCTGCTTATCACACAGTAGGTATCTAATAAATGCACCACCACTAGCACAGGAGCAGCAGAAGCATTGGAAATCAACACATCTTTTCAGAACAGCAAAGGTTCTAGAGTCAAGCTTCAGGAGTGGACTTCAGGAAAGCCCGGCTTTCTCCACTGATTAATAACAACAATAACACAAGTGTTAATATCTACCTCAATGAGGAATAAGAATTAAAGGTGTAATTACAAAGTACCACATAGTAAATGATGTTGCCAATTATTATTGCTCTGCCTTCTGGGCTAATTGGTTAGTTATTTGCCGTTTAACTCATTTCAGTCAAAACAAATAAGAACTTTGAATGTGAAAACCTGGGAATACACACACAGTCACACCACATACATAGACGGCAGGTGTACACAGAACGCATGTGATGTAGCAACGTGTGTTCACATGTGATCATGCATGGGAAAGAGCCTACATGTAGCACTGTTGGTAATAGAAAAGAGTGTAGTATAATAATGCCATGAGGTTACTGAACTAAATAAAAAGTTCTGAGATGAGGTTGTTTCTATGATTTATTTTAAGCAAAGAATGGCACAGAACCATATGTGCTGTAAATCACTCTTTTGTATGATAAGAATATTGCATTTAATTTATATACTGGGAGATTATCTGTAAAAAAAATGATGGATGCTTTAATAGGCAAAGGTCTTGGAATAGAAAGAATTACTTTTAAGTTCTGTACAAATTTCAGATACATACTTAGATGCGTGTACACTCTTTATGGTACATTATAATTGCATACACACGTGTAGCTTTAAAAATATTAACATATGTAAAAAAACTGGAAAAAAAAGGCTTTGAGGGAGGAGTATGTAAGGGTGGAGGGTGGGTATCGAGGGACAGGGAGATGAGTTGGATGGGTGTATGATGTGAAATTCACGAAGAATCAATACAAAGTTAATAAAAGAAAGTTCGCTGTTCTTACTTGAATAGTTGATTTCAATTTTTGTGTGAATAGTCCTAGAAATTTCCATTTTCCCATATCTATCAATGGTATTCACAGCTTTTGTGTAGAACCTTTTATATCCACCTGTGCCATGAAAAGACCTCTCTACTGCTTGCTTCCAATTCTCATTGTAACACTACTTCCAATACCATGTGTTGCACGAGTTGATTTTCTTCAAATACTAAATGTCGAAATGCTACCTGCCTGCAGCCTCTTCTCTATCCTGCAGCATCTCTATCCAAGAACGCCTTCCTTAGACAAGATTTCATTCAGAGCGACTCAGTAAATTCCCACATTTTATTCAATTCTAGAGCCATATCAAGTAAGGCGCTCTCTTCTCGTGTACAAAAATACAAAGGTTTGTTGTCAGAGAAAGAGACATCAAGACCTCTAGATGCCAGAAGAAAACAGAGCTTAGGGCTTCAGGTGTGCAAGCCACATAACACATGTTCTCTGTATGTAATGAAGTGTGAACTGCTAATATCAGAGTCTGACATGAGCTTAAAACCCAAGGCATTCCATGGCATCCTAAATACACAAATCTGACAATATAACGCTCATTACAAATATCATCTCAAGGACCCCTGGTATTCACTTATGAGTCTATGAAGTATCACAATTTTCCCTACATCCCCCCAAAAAAAATGTGTTTCTTAATTTTTAAAGGTGCTCCTACCAATGAAACTGTCTTGGGAATAGCTGGCGCTAGCCATCAGAATATCTACGTTGGTAAGGGGTGATCGTCTTGGGTAATCCATTGCTTCAGTTGCCTCATTGTAAAGCATCCACAAAACATAAAGGAGAAAGGCAACTGCTAAATGCATCAGTTCGTAGGCTAGATGGTATGGTCAGTACCTGAAGATCCTTAATACCTAATGGGTGGTCTCATCAACAGCACTGTTACACCCTTTTAATCCATTCTGAATAGCAGTAGGGAGTTAGTGCCAGCTGTAGAGTATGAAAACTGCTATTGCTTTCAGTTTTTCATTCAGGGAATGTTTTATCCAAGAAATGGACACAGTCAATATGGCCACTGGTAGAGCATATCCCACATACCTGTTCTCAAATTTAAATGACAATGGAAAATACTGTGAGTATTGTTAAGGTGTGGATTTTGATTCGGCAGCTTTGGGTGGAGCTTGGCACTCCACATTTCTACCAAGCTCTCAGGTGATGACAGATACCCCTGCTGGTGGCCATGGGACGCCAAAACTGTTCTACTGTGAATAATACAGAATGGCGTGCTTGATAACAAACATGGGAACTTTAACATATGAACTCATGCACGACCCAGGTATATAATTTTTCTGCTTTCTCACTTACCTTGCAGAGCAGAATTTAGTCATTTTCAGTGATGAGATTCAATGCAAATGTGCAATAAAAGCACAAATTTTAGTTGATTCCCTGTGTTAACTCCTGGCAGATGCAAAAGAAAAAAAAAATGGTTGTATAATTCCTAATGAAAAGAAGGGTCACATCTTCAAAGTATTTTTACAAGTAATGACATAATTTCTTTTAACCTGGATGTTTTCTTTCTTGTAACACAAGAATGTAGCCATAGTTTATATTCATTATGTTTGGCCCAATAACAAAATAAGGTATTAACCACAATTCTTTCAAGAAACTTCTCTTGTGCAACTAAATATTCATGCCTTCTCCTTATATAGCTACCTAAAGCTAAATGGTTTAATCAATGAGGCCATTGTAAGCGGATACAGCATAGCTTGTAATAATTCTGGAAGCATTTGCTGGGCTTCCATGATTATTTATTTTTGCCAAGAGCTAATTCCCTTGAATTGCTTGAGGATAATTGTTTTTAAAAGAGAATGGGAAAATAATATTCTGGATTTAAAAGTCTAGCATTCAAGTAAAATCTTACAAGAGGATATATAATTTAGTCCCGTGTTTAGAGTTTGTTTTCGTTTTCAGGATTTCTTCCACTGAAACCCATAAGAAAACATTTACCACGTAGGCAAGTATAACAGACTCAAAATATATTCATGAAGCAAGTCTTAGCCTCATGTAAGCAGTGTGTTCTGATATTTATAATCTTTGTATTATTTATTTTAAGTTACTTGGTAGATTTCATGACGTGTGTGTGTGTGTGTGTGTGTGTGTGTGTGTGTGTGTGTGTGTATACTGTTTGTACTGTGTATATATCAACATGAATGATCACGGCAGGGGGCCTAGGTAGGTGTTTGCATTTGTAGAGACGCCAAAAATTGATGTCATGTGCCTTGCTTGATTTTTTTTTACCTTATATACTGAGGTGGGGTTTGTTGTTTGATCCCAGAGCTCACCATTTCAGCTAGTCTACCCAGCCAGTCTGCTCTTGCGATCCCTTGTCTCTGCCTTCTGAGCACTAGGAGTATATGCAGGCATTCACACCTACCAATCTGCATGTGGGTACTGGGACCTGAATTCCAGCCCTCATGGCTGTGTGGTCGGTACTTTACCAAGAGAGCTATTTCCCTAGTCTCCTTCTGGCCTTTGAACTGCCTGTTCATGCTCACAATCCTGAACAGGACAGTCATTCGGCAGACTCTGGGACCTGAACCTGGTCCTCTGAAAGTTCATGAGTATAAAAGACATTCAAGGAGTCATGCTACAGCCACAATGTGATAGCCATAGACCTGAAGGAACAGCCAGGGAGTCTATGCAAGGACATTCAGGAGAAATTCCTTTAGGTGAAACCATTTCTCCAACAACAAATTCAACACAAATGGTTTGTTTAGCACGTTCTCTGGAGATAAATGCAGAACAATTATGGAGACTTAGAATGATGGAGGTAAGTTTCACTGCTCAGTTGCTACTAGAAATTTATAAGAAAGCAAGCGAGGAATGAAGTAGGTCAGAATTAATAAACACGTGGACCTACATACAGCACTGTTTATCAGTTTTAATACAAATTCTAAGGTAGCAAGTTACATTCCCCTAAGTATTGCATCAATAGTCTGAATGACCATTATTCTAACACACTTTCAGGAACATATAAATCACGAGAAAGCACAAACATAAAACAAATGATTTTAATCTGTCTTGACCTGTTCCATGTGGGAAAGGCCAAATAAGGCCTTTAAGAAGTTCAAATAGCAGAGAATCTCCATAGGCTAAAGTATGGGCATTTTATCTCACTATTAGAAAAGAACAGACATCAGATGTGTGAGTGTGAGACACACTGAAACAATCCATCTATGCTTGACTGGGTTCTATGTCTTTTCTCCGGAGCTGAAACACTAATTGGTTAAGTAAATAAAACTGTATCCCAGTTAATAACAAGACAGACACAGTGAATATGAGGGAAGCTATCTTCAGTACATGTCTCTGAGCAGTTGTGCCTACAGAAAGATTGGGTAACCTTTCCCATCTCCTTCCTGCCGAGTTATTCTAAGCCTCTGTATGAGAAACAAAAATAGCCTTGAAAAATGTGAGTTCGGAGTTGGATATCTCAGAGGAGCTTGAGGGTGGACCACAATTGAGCGTGCTATAAAAACAATATTGTAACTATGATGGTGAATCAAATTCTTCATATTTTTTTTATCCCTCAGTTTATCTAAGAAAAGCATCTATTCCGACAATCCACTAAGAGCTATTAGTAGATTTGGTTCACATATGTTGGGATAAAGTCTGCACTAAACAGAGCAGACAAGGCAGCCGGCCATATCACCGTCTTCCTCTCCGAGAGACATTTGCATAACTCTCAAAGGCCTCTGGCTTTTAGGAGACATCAATTCCTTGCTCAGCTGGAATTATTCTGACAGCTTTGACATTACATTATCATCACAAGATCACGGCATACTTAAAGAAAAATGAAGATCCATGAGAATTAAAAGTAAAAATAATGCAAGTCTCCCAAATGCTTGATCAATATCCAAGTGATTCACATTAAAACTTAACAACTTAGATTTCAATTAGTCATCACTCTGTGTGCTTTCAAGGGCATGGCTAAAAACAAACATACAACTAAATAATTCTAAACAACTCTTTTCTCAATATGTCTCTATTTCCATTTCATACCAGAACATACGTATTATACATTTTTCATTTTAAAGATCTGGTTTTTTTTTAAGGTATCTTATTCTGAAACTGATTTCTCTGTATAATTTGTTCTGATTCAAATAATTTTTTCTCCTACCCAGATTTCCTCATTCTCATAAATAAGGAATATTTTTTGATAAGTGTTGGTAGGATCTCTAAGTAGGCTCTGTTTTTTCCCCCACAATAAGGTTTTTAATAAGCTTTTATGCTATTATATCAACTTGCAAAGACTGGTAATTGTCAGTTTCTTTGCATGTGACCCTACTCCATCAGAAACATACATACCAGTTGGTACCTATATACTTTCAAATCTGGTCATCTATTCCAGGGCAGCAAATTAAATTGCTTTTGTCTTCTTTTTCAAGAAAGCTCACCATACCACAAAGACTTTTTTTAAAAAAAAAAAATTATGGTTTTATCTGCATCTTAAATTGCAATGTTTGTTTTTGTTTATTTGTTTGCATAATTATGGGTTTACTTAAGGAATACCAGCTAGGATTGGAGTTTGGAAGACTGCATTAGGAAGAAAGATGAAGCAGATGTAATACACAGCTAAGATCAAAGAGCTCCATCAATTCATTCCCAGAGTCAAAACCCAGCTGAGCCTCAGAGCCCTGTCTGCATAATAAGAAAGGCTGACTGAAACATAGGGATTAAACAGGTGGACTGTGTCCTGCAGAGGCGAGGGAGGGACACCCCACGGAGTCACTTGTAAAGACACTTTGGAAGCTCACACCTGCTCCTCCTCAACCAAGCTACAGGACACTAATGTGGCCAAAGACACACAGCTTCAAAGAAAGGAAAGTGTGTCCGGTGTACGTGGCTTTATTCTTCCAGACAGTTTCTTCCTTGGCAAATGACAAATTAATAAATTGCTTCCATTTCTCCAAGGTGACTTATCCAGCACCCAACTTTCAAAATAAGAGAGGAAATCAATGATGAAATGTTCCCCGGGCCTTGAAATCTTACTAGAATATGGCTACCTCATGAACTTCATCTTCCTCAAATGAATAGCGCTTTTTTTTAAGTCAACCTTTACAAACATTGGTCAATAAAATTCATTTTGCGGCCTCAGAAAGTATTCTTTTCAGTCACATGAATAACACCTCAAATGTTTTATAAACTCATTACCAAGGTCAACACAAATCATACAACTTAGTTCTATGCACCAAGAATGAAGTCCAGGAATTAAAAATACTTGAAACAATCTGTTCCTGTGTCATTTATTCTAATGATCTTAGTACAATGATAGCTTGTAACTACTGATGAATTACTCTGAACAGTAAAATAGTTTTCTTTGAAGAAAACTGAGATAAAGTTAAAAGTTAAGCAAGCTAGGTCTTTAGCAAGATAGAGTGACCAGTGAGTGCCAGCATTGTTTTATAAGATACATTTCAAATAACATCTATAAGCTCTAACTCTGGTGTGGATTAATTTCCTCAAGCACCGAACATTCCATGATTTAAATATGCAGTTAACACACTCAAATAAATGGAAAGCATTAGCTTTTATTGTATTCACCAAAATAAGGAACATCTAATTAGCAGCTAGGGCAACATGGTCTCCCTGGAGTGGGGCGAAAGTGCAGGCTTTGGCTTGCTGTTGACATTCATTTCCTCATTCAATCATATTTGTAGAGTGTTGACTTTATAAGACAAGGTGGGGGGGGGCGTAGAGAAGAATCATACATGAATCACAGGCAACAAAGAGAAACTCCGAATGCCACGTATATGATAAAAGAGACACCTGTAACAGTAGACCATTGTGGAAAACATACAGAGGCCACATGTAAGAAGTGAGGTTAGGCTTAGGACTTGGTAATGAGAGGTAAGTAGAGAAGAGAGTCAGCTTTCCCAGGAGAAGGGCCAGGCATGGAATGGACTAGACTCTACTTTGAGTGAGTAGGTGATTCTAATTGACTAGGGAGTAGAGAAATGTGCTCAATAAAACAACCAGAGAATTCAGTACAAGGACTCTTCAATACTCTATAAGCAAATTAAATTTGCTTTTCCTGTTTTTCTCAAAATTCAGACTTGAGAATCACCTGCCAGGCATTTTGTTCAAACTCACAAGTGGGTTAGCAGACCCACTCCAGATGTTGGGGCTCTAAGTCATCCGAGATAAGACACGGCGACTAGAGGCTTGAATGGCTCTACAGAATACATTATACTCAGTACTAGTGAAGATTCTGGAAGGAAGCAACTCGTATCTATTGATGGGCGCTTAGTGTGATCTAGCATTTCAACAGTCATTTGAGAGTCCCATTGTATCATAAATAATAAACAGTGCACATGACCCATTTTTTGAAAAGCAGCTATAGAGTGACATGACAATACACAACCGACAGATAACTGAAGGTACGCATACATCTAACGTGG